GAAATGCTTCAGGGTATGCACGGCAAAGCGCCTGCGAATATTGTCGATGAGGCGATTGATGAAGTATTGATTGCTAGGGAAGAGGTATTGTAGAATCAAACACGAATCGGCAAGGGAAAAACGTGAATCGGCAAGGTTCAAGTGCGAATCGGCAAGATTCATCAATACGATCTCTATCATTTCGATTTCGAAAAGAATTGCGACAAACGATGACAATTCGCGCGCAGAATTTTTCGAAATCCACGTGGAACCGTTCTATGTCACTTATCCACAATCCGTCGATGCTTGCCGCATATCGTCACAAGCCCGTTACCATTCTGGATGCTTTGTGGCCTCTTCATTTGAAAAAAGGCATAATAATAAGTGGCCCGTTCTTCATGAGATAATGTCTGATGGCAAGTTCACTTACACTCGCCAAACTAATGAGTGGGAGTTTTCCTGGGTCTACGAGACGCAAAAACAGCTCCGCAAAACCCAAGCGGATAGCTCTGTTCGTGCTGTCTCTTGATCCCGGCGTTCGTACACCCTTCACGTGGTACTCGCCTACTAAGGTGTAGGTAAAAATCGGCGAGTACGATATTGGACGAATTGTTCGCCTGTGCAAGTATATGGACGATCTCTTTCTACAAAAGATAAACTAGCTGCCTCTACCTCGAAGCGCAAGAAGCGAAAGGCCTGGCGACTCGAAAAAGTGGTCTCATATTTGCGACGTAAAATTTTACGTCTACAGAGTGAGATTCACCGAAAGGCGATCGCATTCTTTGTTCATGAATTTGATAATCTCATTGTTCGAGGTATCTGATATGGTCAACCGCAAAATGCCCTATTGGCGCACTACCGCTTTCGCCAAATGTCTAAGGTCATGCAGGAGATAGTAGTCATACTTAGTAATGCCTAGTGTTGATATGTTACAATCCATCCAAAGGAAAAGTACTAAATAGCAGCCGTTTCAATGATACTGTTTTCATACCGTACCCCATTAATGCGCCATTTGGTGATTTTTTGCACGCAGAAAATACCAGACTATCTTACGGTAAAATTTACTATTTTTTTTGATTTAACTGATCAAATTTGTGTATTGTTAGCTGTGAGGGAATCTTAATAATCTGAAAAAAATGCGGTTAGAATTAGTATTATACAAGTAATTGATTTTTCATGAAGAATGTGAATAACTGTAAACTTAAATAAAAACATTACTATTACATCTCTATTGTCTCGTGTTATTAAAATGAATAATACCAAAGGCTTAAAGCGACGAAGAACACTTATTTTTATTGTATCCAGAGGAAAGGATTTATCGATTGGTTAGAAGTTATATTTGTATCCTATTTTTATTATATTTTTGGAGAATTTGATTATGTCGAATATATCTAGCTTACAACTTTTTTCATACATATAAATATATTACAAAAAACTATATAAGTGGTGAAGAAGCAAGCATTAAACCACTCGGAGATTTTATTTTTATGGTACATAACAATAATCATAATAATAGCAATAATAATAACAATAACGATAACAATAACAATTTTAAATAATTCAAAAGAATACATAATTATACATCATCGTCGATTTCGGTGGTGATTCTAAATGTCGAGTTTAAGTCAAGTCATTAGTATCATATTATTTTAAATATATTGATTCAAATAACAAAAAAAGAATTACTACTTACTTCCATTACAAACCGTTGTTGCATAGAACTGCTATTAGACACAGATGGATCATTACCAGCGGCAGGTCCAGTAGGTAATGGAGACGATCCAGAATTAATTTCAGTAATATCAATGCGTCCGGGCGGTGTTGTGTTGGACAATTCATCCCTGCGAGCACCATATGAAATAGGAGAGCGAAGACTTCCGCTCATGTTGTATCGATCTTGATGTCCACCGCCATTTGATCTTCTCGGATCCATAGAGTACCGGCTCATTTCAGAATTACCACCGCCACTATTTCCACTGCCGTTTCCTACATTACTTCCACCGCCAGCAATGTTATAATCTCTGTCCCTGCTCTCCCTGTAATAATGTTCTCTCTGTTCTCTCTTTATTATCCAGTCTTTATCTCGCTCCCGATCCCGATCCCGATCTCGCCACTCCCTATCGCGTGGAAAATATGGATAATTATTCCAGCCTCGTTCTCTGTTATCAAACCGATCTCCTCCAGGTCGTGGATATTCTCGAGATTTAGAATCCACAGAACTGCCAATACCGGGGCTACCTCGATTGTTATTATCGATAACGCTTTGATCTCGATCGTTCTGATTGCTTGAAAGATGACCGTCTGGATTTGCAGGATCATAAGGTGAGGATGCTGACGAAGAAAGTAAAGATGGCGCTCCTTGTCTTGGAGTAGATGGCGAATTAATAGGAGATACACCTGAATAATTTGAATTATGATATCTTCCCCGATCTCCCGGTGAAATCGGTAGATTTCTATTAAATGGACCACTCGGCTGAGACATACGTGGACGAAAGCTTCCGTTATGATGGGGATGGGGATGGGGACGACGAGGTGGTGATATGTATCCTGATCGCGGGCTTGTTGGTATGGGAGGATCGTTATAAGTATGTGAATTTATGGAAGGAAATGAAAACTCGCTTGACTGTTTATTTGAGAATTCTTTGTAGGTCGGTGAGCGTCTGTCACGTATTTCTTCATATTGAGATGGATATTCCTTAATAGCAAAATCAAAATTAGCTGAGTTCATATTATTGATTTGAAACAAAGTTGTAATTACTCACCTTTACGCCAAAGTTATTGCTAGTGTCTAATGACAGAGATTCATCAATAGGTAAATCTTCAGGAAAATAGTCATCAGAAGCGGGAGATTTTGTGACTTGAGTTGTAGATAATCTTGGTGATTTAAATGAAGAAATGCTTGAAACAATGTTAAGGTCATTGAGTTTATCTTTTTGATTTTCTGTAGTTACTTCCTTTGCACTAACATTATTATTACTACCACCGTTGTTAGCATTACTGGTTTTTGACATCAGCGATCGGTCAGTGGAATCTTGTGTTTGTTTGATGTTGTTGTTGTTATCGCCATTACTATTTTGAAGTGATGCTTCTTCTTCCATCTTTTTTTTCTCCTGATACTCCTTCATAGTGTATTTCTTTTGTTTTGTCGGAGTACTCGGAGCTACAGTGGAAGTTTCGGGATTTGATGTATGAATGGTTATGGGAATTGTTTCTTGATTATTATCATTATTATTTTTAGTGGATGACATTGAATCCTGTTTCACCGAGCCATGTTGCTGCTGTTCACTTGAGAATGATGATTGGGGTATGGATTGTGTTCGTTTTTCAGCGACATCAGAAGAGGTTTGATTAGGATCACCCGATAGACTGCTGATATTATTTGAATTGTTTTCATGGGTCTGTAATGATAGTGGCGAAGATAATTGCGTACGGTTTTGGTCAGTTTGATGAGTAGGAGTTGAAGATCTAGAATTCTTATTGAATTCCTGATACTCGGAAATTGCACTCGAGACTTTAAGACTAGGTTTTGAATTTAAATGGCGAGCTGATGAGGAAGACGAATCAGATTCAGGATTTTTTATAGATGTCCCTAATTCAAATGAAGTATCATTCTGTCTTTTGGGGAGTAAACTGTCACTTTTTTGTTTGGCATCTATTTGATCTCTTGGTGTTTCTTTTGACTCAATTTTCACCGAAACATCATATTCATTATGTGATGATGGTGGTTGTTCCATCTCAATTTTCTGACGTTTGTTATTGGAGTCAGAATCCGCATGATCCACAGAACTGATGGTGGGTTTTGTCGTGTATTCGTCATTGACTGCCACCCGTTTCGCGGGAATAATCGGTGTAGCTCTAGGGACAATTACTTCTCGTTCCCCATGGCTATCAGTATCCATTTTGTTATTTATCTCTTGTTTAGACGATTCCGCCCTTTTTGCTGCTTCCGACTGATTGTTTACTGCTTCAGGAGCACTATTAGTGTCTTTTGGCGCAGTCGCAGCTTGTTGAGCAAGATATTGCTGGGCCCAAAATTTTTTAAGAGGCAAATAACTGATCACTGGAGATTGTCCAATTTGTGTATTTTTTTCAAAAGATTCTTTTGAACCGTCAGTTCGTTTATCGTCTCCTACCGATCCTTTTTTGGAGAATTCAGAACTCAAGGGTTGTCTATTGCTCGAAGGAACACGTATACTTTTTTGGGATTTATTAAGTTTGCCATTCAAAGCGTTTTGATTGTCCTCTTGATCCTCGGATGATTCCAAATCTGAGACGGAAGACAGAGAAGAATCTGAAGATGATATATAAGCACCTTCCTCATCTTCAGGATCTTCTATTGTCTTTTTGTTGGATCCTTTGGTTACCTTTAGTTTTTGATTTTTTTTACGACGGTCAACAGATGTCAAAGGTGGTGAATTTAATTCCGGGTCATTTGACTTTTCTTGTTTCCTCGAGTAAGGAGTTGATAATGAATTCTTGCCAACTTTTATTTTCCCTTTATTACTAGATGTTGAATCAGCTCTCGGACGTCGAGCATTTTCTGAAATCTTTTTCTTGATGTTCTTTTGTTCGATTTTATTTTTTGGTTTTCGCTCTTTGTTCGACTGAGACCCATTCAGGTCAACGACAATTGTCTCGTATGTGTCCGAATTATCAGAATCATTATTTATAGTTTTTTCCTTTTTTTTTTCTTTTTTCTTCGTGTCAACATCATCATCCAAAGAATGAGAAGCAAAACCATTGATTTCTCCTTCATTGGTTTCTTTGTTTTCTTCCTCCTCGTCCTCGTCGTTATCCTCGTCTTCGTCGCATATCTTTTTAGCACGTCGAGGACGTTTATTTGACGTGTCTTTTTCCCCTCGTTTCTTTTGGCCACCACCCCCATTGATAGGATTTGCCGCCACCTGATCGCGATCCTCGCTATTAGCTCGTCGAGAATTGACTTCTGTACGTTTTTTCGTTTCTTTTTTGCCAACTTTTTTGAGTTTCGCTGAATCGTCGATGGATTTTGTAATTTTTTTATTTTGCTTCGTAGCTTTGGCTCTTCCTTCCCGTTGCATTCGATAAATCACACAATTAACAGTGTTCTCGCATGCGCAATCAGTCAATTCTAGTATGGCATTAGCTATCTCAACCATTTTTTTCCTACGGGAGTTGATAGTTGTCTCGTTTTGAGTGCTACTCCCTTCGGCATTTTCAATCAAACTAAAATCCACATGGTTTGGTTCCCAGTCCCAACCGACTGTAATTTCATTTCCTTTTAAAATCTCGCATTTAGCAAACACTACTAAATGCACTTGTTGATCTTCTCCACCGGGAACAAAAATACTTCTGGCTTCTGCATTTGGTCGACAAGATCGGCGTATAAATCTGGCATCATTTCCATAGACGCGAGCATCCACACAGAGATCCAATGTTGGATGAAATAGGACAAAAGGTTTCGTTATACCCAACAAAGAATATTGATTAGCCCCATCAGATTTATACGCCGATTTCAGACAGACTTGACCTTTGAATTCAAATAAAAACCCAGAAGCAACATTTGTCTCGGCAAAAAGTCCATAGCAAATTTGCCCTTTTTGACGTGATGGTGATGATGATGAATTGATTTTTTTGACTATAGTTTTCATGAGAGGACGTAGCAAAGATTCACGTTCCATGGGAAACAAATTCAAGAGTGATTGTTGCGTTGATGATTTAAGCATGGTGATGTCTTTACTGCTCACTTCGCTATTAATGTTTTGCCATGTGTCAATTCCACTTTTCTTCTTTTTGTTGGGCGTTTCGATAATCTCATTCGAGTTTCCGTCGTCAATTTTCATCGGACCCGAGCTGGATGACATCGAAAGTGATCTTTTTCGATGCTGGGCTTGACGTTGATATTGAGCCAGAATCTTACGAAACAATTCTTCGACATCTTTTGATGCTATACTGTTTTTATCGATTCTCTTATATTCAGGATTTAATTCCTGGAAATCTTTGCCACTATCAGCGCTTTCGTCTAATTCATCGTCTGATTTATTACTTGTTTCTTTTAGCGACGAATCACGAGTTTGTTTAACGAGTTTACCATTCTTTTGTTTTTTCTGTGATGGAATAGCATCCGAACGTGATGGACTAGAACCACCACCACGCTCTTTTACAAAGCCATGGACATTACGCGGCTGCTGCTTCGACTCAATAAGATTATCTTGTTTCTCCTGTTGTGAAGAATGGTCACTAGCATCTTTCATTTCCTGGTACCAGTCAGAATCGGCCAGATCTGGGTCCCGCCAGTCCGGGCCCAATTCCTCGCGTATGCTTTTCTGATGCTTTTTTGCTCTTGTAACATTCATCGGACGCGGTTGACACTCTTCGCACAAGTATTCTTCGGGAACTTTGTTACGATCTACGTTTACACATGCTCCATGCTGCCAAATTTTACATTTGTCACATTGGATGGTGAAGCCATCGTCATCAGAGTACCCACATATACATCGTATGATGCCATTATCATCTTCGTCATTGGATAGTTGTGTTTGCTCCCTATTAAGCCTTTCAGTTGTCATTACTGTTATTTGTTATTGTAGTCGTTGTTTTTAGTTATTAGTATTATTTAATTATTTTTTTGAGCAGCAGGAGTAGTAACAGCAGATATGTGATAAGTTCTGAATAATAATGAATTACAAATATATGGATTGAGAAAAACTTCTAATAAAGAAGTAAAATCTTTGCCCATTGCAGACTATAAATTCGCCACGATGCAAAGTAATATTTTTATTCCAAAAGTGAAACGCACAATATAAGCTCTTAAAAAATTCCCAATTTGTCGAATGTTTGCTGACTGAATCTTGGAGCAAGGTAAAAAAGAAAAAAATTAGTAACTGGCTTTATATATTAATAAATGATCTTGAGTATGGTGTTTCTTCTCTTTGAATGATGAAAATATCATGGCAATTAAAAAAACCACAGCTTTTCTTATTAAATCTTTAATTTCTGAAGAAATAAGCAACAAGAAGTTCACTGATGAGGAAAGTGAACTACTCGAAGACGAGATCTTTTTCACTACTTGTTCACTTAGATCCTTGTAACTACTACAATAAAAGTATATATATATATATGGATCGAGAGTCTACCTACTTTGAAATTCGCCTTTAGTTTATGAGTTCAGGCAAAAAGGGAAAGAATAATAAATTATATGGTATTTATTTTGGGGGAGACGAGAGAAGTCATCTTATTCTTACTTCGTGACACAATACTATTACAACACTAACTGATACAGAATCATCAATCAATCAATCAATCAATCAATCAATCAGTCAATCGATCAATCGATCACTACAAAATGAATGACAGGGATTGACCGAGACCAAGGATCCATGTTTTATTTATTTGGACTTTACAAGCAGAATTTGGCCATCTTTGTTGTATACGATATCCGCCAGAAACTTGTAGACCTATTCATTGGAATAGTTATTAATTGAATAATTTTTAATCTGTATAAATTGATAACATCGTATTTACCTCTTCAAAATCCTCGAATTCATAAGGAATCGACAACTTCGAATCCAGATTATACACGCTTGTCATATCCTCTTGTTGTTTTCCCTTCCGGAAAAAAGGCTTAATAGCGATCCAGTGATTAGACCTCCAGAAATGAAATCGGGTATAAGGGATATTCAAAATAAGACCAAAGAGAGTCGAATCCGTGAACAGAATCACCGTTCGAATGTCTACGTAGATACAATATACACGAAAGAGAAGGAAGGAAAGAGGGAACACGCATAACCATATTTATACCCTAGAAAAACCCATTAAGCTACTCAGGGATGCACATAGACACGCAGAGGACAAACACATCACACGCATAATCACTCGAACATATTTCGAAGATAGAGAGAACATATGATTTTTGCTTTCTTGCGTGCTTATTGTGATCATTGTTTTGGATCTAGCTATGAACTACAGCCATTTTCGCCCCAAAAACACAAAAGCAAAGGTTGCGTATGAAAATGTAAAAAATTTCGTGTATAGAGTACCTTTTCTAAAGTCAAACCATTGCAATTCTAGTCCGATTTTCTTCAAAGCCAACTCGAGTACATTCACGTCATAATGTCCTAATCCACTAATAAAATAACGAAATAGTGAAATTCACACACAATACACCAAATCAAAACTAATGCAAAGAACATTCGAAATAAAATAAAAAACACTTGCAGCACGCTTTTGTGTGGATTGATCAAATATGAAAGCCAAGTTTTAGCTTCGGAGCTAGTCTGTTTGTCAAGGGTTTCCGCAAGGCTATCAAGCTCTGATTTTGTATAAGCTGCTCTTTGAAGCTGTATTTGATATAAAAGGTAGTTTTTAATAATCGCGCTTCTCAATTTAAAGATGAAAACCCGAATTACAATTAAATGCCAAAATAAAAATAAAATACTTGCCAGATTATTCAAGGTATGCTATAAAAATTAAATAAATGAGTGGTCGTGTACTAAGAGTGAAAGCGGTTAGAATAAGATTCCAAACCTGTCCACAAAACCATAGCCTTTGCTTTTCGTGATATAGTTTTCGAGGTTCGTCCATAAAAAGTTGTTGGATAATAAAAACAGAATTTGTAAATCATGATTCGACTGATCACGGGAATTAGTTAATGGTTCGGAACATAATTATGGTACATGTATATAGTGCATTTATGCATTTGCAAAGATTCGCATCAAACTTTACCACCGTTATTTCAACAAATTATGGGAATCACCAATACACAAATAAACTACCTCATTTACCGATACTTACAAGAATCGGGTTCTTAGTTTTTCACCTTGGCTTTTGAATACTTATTTATTTTATGCTATCGTGGAATTTTATTCAAGATAAAAATCTTGACTTTTTTAGGATTTTCTCACAGTACTTTTGTTTTCAAAAGTGAGAGTCACCTACCACTCTCTGAATTCAGAACAGAAAACGTCGAACCTGGCCACCTAATCAGTTTAATACAGAAAGGACTCATATATCTGGAAGTCGAGAAACATTTATCTTCTGTGAGAAAAAAGCTGAAATATTAATCTCAATTTATTTATTTTTTCAAAGAAATTAATTATATCATCAATTACAATTTTTAGGATGGATCGAAAAAAGAATGCACAGCTCCTTTCTCACTGATAGAACCGCACGTGTGCAATTACACGTCGAGAAAACATCAGCGTGACGAAGGCGAGAATTCAATCGCACGAAAAGATCGAAGAATCTATCATAGAGACCAAAAACAAAGAGAAAGTCGGACACGGGAGATCTTATCACAGCACGATCAACAAATGTTATCAAATAGTATGGAGGATATTGAGATTGATCGCGAGCCACTTGCTGAGATTCCAGCAACTATAACTCGAGGTTAGATGAATTATTTTTTACGATATTAGATTCGATTGACAAGGGATTATTTTTTGGAAGATTACACTAAAAAATTCATGCTAAAAAATTTAATTTAAAAGGAAATGGGTCAATGTCATTAGACAGCATTGAGAATACAACAGAAAATGACAAAATTACTCTTACTGGACATAAAGGAGAAGTATTTGTCTGCCTTTGGAATCATGAAACAGATATTTTGGCATCAGGGTATATATCTTGGGCATAAATAAAATACAATTTATTTTATTTTAAATTAAAAATTAATTTATCTTCCGGTTAATTACCTTTAGAGGAAAAGATGGAACTGTTCTTCTCTGGACGATACCACCACAAAAGAATCCAGAAATTGGCAGCCCCATTTCATGCCCATTTGATACTGAAATACCGCAAAATGGTAATCAGCAGTCGGACGACCATCAAGTCACCAATATGGATTGGAATGTGTGTAGTATTTTGTTCCTTGCTATGATAAAAATTATGTGGTTTAAATTTCAGACATTTTTATTAATTTAGGTAGATGGAACTCTTCTGGCTGCAGGATATCATAATGGAACTATTCGAATTTGGACAACTAAAGGTATCTTTTTTTTCTATGAATTTTTTTTAATCATTTTTCCTAGAGAAATTAACGATTTAAATAAATATTTAAAATAGGCGAATTAAAATACGAATCAAAACCACACACAGCAGTTGTATTTGGTCTAAGATGGAATAAGAGCCAGTCGGATATAAAAAAACAAAATCTTCTTAGCGGGAGTATTGACGGAACTGTTGGCCTTTGGAATCCAGCAACAAATGCATCACAACAATTTACTTTACATTCAGGTAGTGTGCATTTAACAATATCAATCAGTTTTGGAGAATCAAACGCTTACTCAAATTATTTTTTATAGACGTGGTTAATGATGTCGAATGGAAAGATAGTACCACATTTACGACTTGTTCCAAAGATAAAAAAATATATCTATGTACTACTGAGTCGAATAGAAATCCAGTTGTGAAAACATTTGTGGGACATCAAGAAGAAATTAATGTTATACGATGGGATCCTGTCACAAATTACCTTGCATCAGGTTCAGACGATCGAACAGCAAAAGTATTAGATTATTAATTTTCTTGTATATATTGAAACAAATTGTAATGAATGCTTTTGATTGATTGATTGAATTTTAAGATATGGTCGGTAAAATCACCCACACCACTTCATACTCTTGAGCACGAAGCTAAAGTTTTCACGGTGAAATGGTGTCCCGCATCTGTCGGATCAAAACAGCCACGTATATTGGCTACGTAAGTAACGAAATATTTTGATTGGTCAATATGCACGTAAATATATATATTGATTATTCTTTTGGATACTGGTGGTTGTAGCGCATCTTTCGCAGAATCAGGCGCAACAGCACGACTATGGGATGCGAAAACGGGAACATGTTTACACGCTTTGGGATTTGATTGCACCATTTTTTCCATGACATTTACTCCGGATGGAAAATACTTGGTGGTTTCTTGTATAGATTCTACAGTCACTATTTTGAGTGTAAAGGTATCAGTATTATTATTATTATTATTATTATTTTTTTATATTATGTATTTACTGTTGATTGATTCGGTATCTCGTAACATGTTAGGACGGCACAGTCGTGAAAACGGTGAGAAATGCTGGGGGAGTGTATGAAGTTAGCTGTAAAATGTATGATACTAGGTATCGTTTCGCGGCCTCTCTTTCAAACGGAACGGTGAGTAGCATATACTCTCTATATATTTTTCTTTTATGACATATTGTTTGTGAACTTTAATAATGCTCACCTCTGGACTCTTTATTGGAACGGGGATGCTCCTTAGGTTGTTCTATTCGAGATCAACAAGTCATGAGAAACCAAAAATGAAATTCTCGATATATATATAAAATGTCGTGTTCAGTGGATAACGGCGCGCGCGGATATTTATGTTAAATATATGTGGAAAATCATGTTTCATTTTTTTCGATATTCAAAAAATAAAATTACTGTGCATGCAAGAAGAGAGTTTACAGAAATTTGAACCTCAATACATGTATACCGATTATATTCTTGTTTTGTGCCTAACACCTTAATTTCTTTGGGTTAAAGCGTTGTACCTTCGGTGATCATTCCAAAACACAAACCAATAAAGGATGCGTAAATTTTTAATCAGCCCGGAAAAACAAATCCAAAACGCGAACGAAAAAATGAAAAAATACAATTTTACATATAATCTTGTCCCTGACCCAACCTTTAATTGTAATACCCATGTGGTCACGTGGATCAACGCTTTAACGCATCTCTTAATAAGGTAATTCGATTTCTGTGAAATAATTTTTTTTTGCGTCAGAAAATGCGTAAGACACTACCACTCGAACGTTTTATTTCGCGAAATAGTTTATTTGTTTATAGAAGGCACAGTAATACTTTACAAAATAATATACACTGCAGGTGTTACTCAGCAGCAGTAAATGGAGGTTGCTTTCTTAACATTTAGAGAATATATATATAGATTTAGTGACTTTTTAGATTCGAATTGCTGAACTTTAGCAAATGCATTTTTTACATCATAGATTATACCATCAATAATACAAGAAATATTGGGATAATAGCACACATTGATGCTGGTATTTTCATTTTTTTATACGATATAAGACGATATCAAAGAAATATATTGATCTAATTTCTGGATATAATAAAAATACCAGGCAAGACAACCACCACAGAACGAATGTTACATTATGCGGGTTTTACTCGGAGAATAGGGGGCAAGTTGTATGCAACAATAAATTTCACGCGTTTTCTGATGTTCAGATTAAATATTAAGTATTCAAAGCTAACCAACAAAATCACAACAAAAAGATGTAGACGATGGTGACACAATAATGGATTACATGAAGCAAGAGCGTGAACGAGGCATCACGATTACTTCGGCAGCGATAACGTTTGGATGGCGGAAGCACCGTATAAATTTAATAGACACTCCAGGTCACGTCGATTTCACAATCGAGGTTGAACGCAGTGTTCGTGTACTCGATGGTTCCGTGACGATATTAGATGCTGTGTCTGGAGTCGAAGCACAGACACAAAAAGTATGGACGCAAGCTGATCGATATGGTATCCCCAGAATCGCATTTATCAATAAAATGGATCGTGTTGGTGCTGGATTCGGTAGAACGGTTAGAGAGATGCAACGTAAACTGCAAACAAGGCCACTTGTTTGTCAGATTCCGATGATGAGAACTGATGAAAGAGGAAACCTTGACTTTTATGGAGTTGTTGATTTGCTTGATATGCAGTTACTTGATTGGGATAAAGATCCAAATGGCAGAGTAATACAAAAAACTGTAATAACTGACAATTATCATGACCAAACCTTCTACAAAGAATTAATGAAAGGTCGTACATGTCTTGTAGAAGCATTATCGGAACTTGACGATCAAATCTTGGATATATTTCTAGCTTCCGAAGAACACATGAAAGTGTCTGCGGATGATATTCGTCAGGCATTACGTAGAGTGACATTGAGTGGAAAGGCGGTGCCAGTATTTTGTGGCGCATCTTTGAAAAATATTGGTGTCCAGCCTTTAATGGATGCAATTGTAGATTATTTGCCTTCACCGTTGGATAGACCAGCACCTTTGGCAAATTTGGGTGAAGGGGGCACTGCACAGATCACATTACGAGAAAAAGATCCTTTGTGTGCACTTGCTTTTAAGGTGGTTCATGATCAACGACGTGGTGCAATGGTGTTTGTCAGAGTCTATTCAGGTAAGTAGTACTATTTCATTGTTTTCTTATGATACAAAAATATTTTATTTTATTTATCACAATTGCTTTAAAGGTGTTTTGGATAATCGTATGTCGTTGTACAATACGAATATTCATCAAAAAGAGCGCGCAAACAAATTATTACAAATGTACGCCGATGAAGTAGAAGAAATTCCATCGATAAATACCGGAAACATAGGAGCTGTCGTTGGCTTAAAAGAAACAAGAACCGGTGACACATTAATAAACTGGAATGATTCGCGAAAAAATCTGCGTTTGCCAAGCATTGATATCCCGGCACCAGTATTTTTCTGTGCCGTGGAACCAATCTCGGCGTCTGAAGAGAAACCCTTGGAAGAAGCATTAAAAAATATACTACGCGAAGATCCTTCGCTTCATGTTCACACTGATCCGGAATCGGGACAAACGTTAATTAGTGGAATGGGCGAATTACATTTGGAGATCGTTAAAGATCGCTTGTTGAATGATTTCAAGGTGAAAGCAGAAATCGGTAAAATGAGAATATCGTATCGCGAAACTGCGACTGCTGAGCTCTCCGATCTTTCGTATTTGTACGATAAAGAAGTGATGGGCAAACGAGCAAAGGCACAGATTTCTCTCTCGATATCTTCTCTATCTGAGGATGATTTAGGTGTGGCGTCTGAAGGAAGTAATAGAATTGAGCTGGAAATCATTAATCCGGATTTATTAGAGAACAATGATGATACCTCTTCCGAGAAACAAATGCAGACCAAATTAACATTGGAAGAAATAAATTCGGCAGTGCGTGGTGGAATACTTTCGGCACTATATCGTGGCCCGATACTGGGATTTCCATTGACTGGCCTCCGTGTTAAAGCTCATGCACTGCAACTTTTTGGCGCAGAATCTACAAAAACAGCAATCAGCTCATGTGCATCACAGGCACTTACTCAAGCAGTTAAATCGGCATCACCTGCACTACTTGAGCCATTAATGGAAGTCTCTGTGGAAGTATCTGAAGAATATCTTGGTATAGTAATTAGTGATCTCAGTGGTGTTCGTCGAGGTCACGTCATCTCATTAGAGACTTTAGGTCGTGGTGATGCAAATACAGAACAAAAACTACATCAGAATGAAGTTTATGCACCGCCAGATTCTACATATAAGTATGGCGAACACGAAGGAAGTCTAGGAATCAGTAAACCGAAAAGAATTGTCCATGCTCATGTGCCATTATCGTCAATGTTGGGTTATGCCTCGGCGCTTAGATCTTTAACCGCCGGAAATGCGTCATTTAATATGATTGTATATCGATTTGGTTTGATGAGTGAAGATCGAGCAAGAAATGTTATTGCTGAAATGCAAGGCGGTTATTGATTTCTTTTTACTCTTTATCAATATTAATATTACAAGTTATTTCGATCATCTCACCTCTCTCCAAATGTATAATGAGAGACTATAAATTCAATTACGTCTCCCCCTTTTCGTTTTAAAACAAACGAATTTATTTTCTCCTTCACCATTGAAATACTTAAAAAGGAAAATTCTTTCATTTGCTAAATACAGTCGACTCTCGATATAACGACCATGCAGATCCTATTGTAAACAATATAAATTCAATAGAATCTGCATGGTCGCTATATCGAGAGTCGACTGTAGTGATTTCGTCTATTTTGAGCGCCGACTGTATACAGTTTGTTTGTATACTCATACTACATGCAGGGTGCATCAAAATCACAAGCATGATCTGCGTCATATACCCTAAAAAGTTTAAACCATACATGTTTCTCACAAACAAAGAAAATCTTCGGTTTCATTGTTCAAACTTATTATAAAAGAGGCGTTCTTGTAAAAAGTCGCATTCATGTATCATAATAATCGAATTAATTTTAGACATTAGTACTATTAGAATATTATAACTACGTCATTATGGACTCGAGAGACGAGCAAATTAGAAAAGCAATAAGTGAAGCAGATTTGAACATGTTGAAACAACTAGCGACGACTGGACCAGGTTTTATAAATTCGGAATTTCGTAGCGAATGCTGGTACCAATGATCTCTATTCATTATTAGAAAGAAAATTTTATTAAATAATTAATTAACTAATTTTCTTTTTGCCAAGGCCATTGCTTTTACAATGCGCAATTGACGACGAGAAGTTAGCAAAAGGCCGAGCAGAAGAGATTTCGTTAAAAGATCGACAGCAAGTAGAAGCTGATGTTAATCGTTCTTTTGTTCACTTTCCGAAAGGTTTGTAGAAAATATCCGGATTTAGTAAATCTTTGACAGTAAATCCGGTTTCGCAGTTTTCCTAATAGTTTTTATCTTCTTATGAAAGCAGTTGAAATCATTGTATCTATTAAATTTAATTTAATTTAATTTAATTCAATCTAAATCAGGAATATCTTCCAAAGAAAAATTAGAAAAGATAAAACAACTACAAGAAGTAATTATAACAGTTTTGAAACGGCATCCGGAAATTTCTTATTATCAGGTACATTTATCTGTTTTCGCAGTAAATCAAACTGGCGAAAGCGATATAAATCACTAATTACGACCACAAATATATATAAAACACACTCTCAATATATGGATTTTTACACGGTTAGGGATTTCATGATGTATGTTCGTTCCTGCTACTGAGCTTGGGTGAAGAAACAGCCATAAAAGTTGCGGAACAAATAGTGCTAGGGCCATTGAGGGATGCGGCACGTGAGTCTTTAGTGCCTTTCATGCAAAACCTTACTTTAATAGGTGAAATAGTGCGCAAAGAAGACACGCAATTATATGATTTTCTCGTAGCGTAAGTAATTTATTTGATGCATTCTCTTCTTTATGTCGAGTGATTGCTAATTTCGTTACTCGATTTAGGTCGGAAGTTTTTCCCGAAGCGATTTCATGCATTAGCTGGCTAATGACATGGTGTTCGCATAATGTATACGATTTGGACAAACTAGCACGAATATTTGACTACATGATCGCGTCGAGCGCGTCAAATACGTGCGCATATTTCACTGCAGCAGTAAGTAAAACATCCATTTGTATTGCTGGTTGCTCTATAGCGTGAATTTTATCAATAAAGCAGTTTTTCTTTTTATATTAGGTAATATTAAGCCGAAAAAACGAGCTTTTAGCATTTAACGATGACGATTACTGTCTTTTACACGGGCATCTTAGCAAATTCCCACAAGATGCCAACATCGATAGTCTCATCGAAAAGTCTGTATCACTACAATCACGTCATTCATCCGAAAACAGACTCGACAAACTATTCAGTTTACTCCTCTTTCCAAAACAATTCTGGTCCTCGCAAATCGAAGAATTACGCGACAAAGTCTCGGACGCTCTGAAAGCACTTGGCTGGTTTCTTTTTGGTGTAAATTTTCTTTTAATTTTTTATTATTATTTTTTTTCCGAGTCAGATTTTTTCGGCTCAGTCTAATTTATATGCCAAATGCTTTTTGTACGTGTAGCCACCGAGTGGAGACGTTTTTCTCGCGCTCGATCATTGGTGGAGTAAGACCGATAAAATTTTCGGATAGTAAAGTAAAATGTATATATATTATATATTAGATTAGATTAGATTAGATTAGATTATCCTAAAACATAAATTAATGTTATTCAAATCACGATAAATAAAGCATCATTCCCGAAAATTGTTTTGATAATTATTTTCATGCATAAAATGCCTTCTCAACAGCACATGCTATCAGACGACGCACAAGAAGTAATAGACGAAGTTATTGCGTGCGCTCGGTACGGCGAATATGAAGAACTTTTAGAATGCATGAGGTCTCAGTCTACAAATTGTCTAGTAACAAAAAGTTCTTTTGGAAATACTGCGTTGCATATGGCATGTGCTAATGGACATTTAGGTTGATATTCATGGTGTTTAACAATAGAATTTATTGTATTGCATACTGCTCAGTACTAAATTTTAATTAATAAATAATTAGAGATAGTAACGTATATAATAAACCAACTCGAACAATTGGCATCACCATCATCATCAGCATCATACATCAATGTACAAAATGATTCGGGTAATACGCCGTTGCATTGGAGCGCGTTAAATGGTCATAAAGAAGTGGTGGAGTTGCTAATAAAGAACGGAGCGAATGTTAATGTAATCCATTTAGCTCTTTATTCGTAGAATTATTATGCGTTTTGTTTTCGAAATCATTAATTGACTTTTAATATTTTCCGATCAAATACGTGCTGGAATTCTGATTTTGGATGATTTTTGATTTCTAGATAAAAAATAAAGCAGGACGTTCAGCAATTTATGAAGCACAGCAAAACAATCATGAAAAAATTGTAGAGTATTTATTGAATGTGGTGGACCCGATCAAACCAGAAACAGTCGATGAAAATATTGAAGCGGAGGAAAAACATATCATTAATGATAACAATGATGACACAATCCAGGCTGGTTGAACCAGAAATTTATTCTTACATCTCAAATGAAATTTTCACAAACTTTACCATGACAAAAATGAATTAATTTAATTTCAAAAAAAGTAATGTCCATCTCACGCAACGCATGTTCCACCAAACCAAACAAAAAAACAACAGCCGTGTGCACAAGAATATATACACACAAAAAAGCGTATTATAAATAAATAGTCAAAATGTCCAATAATCCAAATTATTTGTCAAGTTTATTGTTCATTTGTGTCATTTATTTAACATGCTTCCCAAACGTTGTTTCCGACGTTCACGAAAATAATCTCGTTGGCGATCTATCTCCTTCCGTGAAATATCTGATATCATCACTTTGCGCCGCCGGAAACACACCTAAAGTTTCATCCAATTAATTCATGACTCAACTAAAACAATAACAGCAAAAAGGAAATTAATAAAGAAAATCAGCTTTCTCTAACCTCCATTAATTTATGACAATCAATTAATCGTTTCGGCATGTTCTAAAAAACAATCACTTAGTTTTTCGTAGATAGAAAATAATGTTTTTTAATATGTAAATAAACAAAAAAATCGAATTTACCTGCACTACTTGAAATACTTCCATAGGATCATCTACAGCCAAAATTTTCTCCTCATTAATTTTAAAAATCGCCAAAGCAACACGAAACAATACTTTATGACGCTCACTATTGCCAAAAAAAAAAAACAAGCACATTAATTCGTTTGCTAATCTGGCATTCAATAAATTATGGGACATCCTATGACTTACTAAAAAAAGCAATCCCAAACTCTAAGCATCGTTTCAATCGGTAATATATTAATATATAATGTCAAAAACCAATGACTCGTAACAAGAGTAATGGTCGGCATACTGCTGTCCACTTTTTCTGGATCCCATCCGATCCCAGCACTTAATTTACCCCACATATGTGGCATTTTATCGATAATGAATTTCATAAGCACCGCCTGATCCACGTTAGCACCCTCCATTGTCATATCGTACATGTTCTCGGGGAGATAATCGTGGATGATGGCGACTAATGTCCAGAATGCTTGTTTCTCTTCCATGAAAAGTAACAATAATCCGGCAATATAGTTTAGTGATTGACAGTAACCTATATTTGGTGAGTAAAGTGAGAACGCGACAAGCACACGTCTTAAGGATTGAATTATTGGAACATTTTCTGTGTCTATTGTGGGCGATGAGCCGTCATCGGAGGATACCGAAGATTTGAATTTGATGTTTTCTGGGAATGTCCGGTGAAGATCTGTAGTTTCGATTTTTGTGAGTTAGTTAAGAAGCAAATATACTCGTGGTTTATAAATAACCAAAAACTTGCTGTTTTGTGGATAGTATTTTATTTGATCGACACACTATCCAAACAATTCATTTCATCTAAATCCATAAATAATAAGGTTCGACAAAAAATGATCATTGACGATTCACCTACCTCTCTCGATTATTTCTACATATTCGTTCTCTGTCCGAGCTTCCGCTGCTTTTTGTAAAAGTTTCTCGTATAGATCCGGTTGATTTCGCATCTTCTCCGCGGCTCCACTATAATGAAACCATACCTTTATTTAGAACAATTTCAAATGTATTAGATGATATACTATAATATCACGTACACGAGAAATCAAAAAAAAAATCTAATCAGACTCACACGTCCTCGTAATGATGGTGGAATTCCTTTACGGATATAACGCTTGACTAAACAATGCATTGAATATTATTTTTAGGATTTGAATTTAATTCAATCAACCATGCTGTTAATAAATCATTCATTTTGCAGGCCCATGCCATAAAAATCCACAACCCATTATTAATCATATGAAAACCCACTTTTAGAGCTTTTTCCAGGTAAATTTCCACCATTTTCTGTCAACAACGCATCCCATTTAACTTTGCGACGTTGTTGAATTCGTGAATAAATTGATTCAAAATCAGCATATTCCTTCTGTGAGATCCATTGATAAGATCGTTTAAATCCATATTGATCCCTACAATAATTCAAGAATTTAATGATCAGTATTAATAAACATTACTCGATACAAAAAAATCAAATTTTGACATGCTAATGAGAAATCGCAAGCTTTATTTGCAGTTTTCACCTATCGGGATCAATCGGTGCTTGATGTCCATCATTATTCATGTTGTTTTTATGATTCATTCGAATAGTTTTTCGTGCGGTTAACGAAGAATTTTGTGCAGTGATAGCTCCTTTTCCACCTAGAGAATGTGAATAATTCAAAATATCCTCTTCGTAGCTACTGGCAGAAGATGATTTATTCATCTCTTGATAAATATAGTCATATATTCCGTTATCTTCGTTTGTACTACTTCCCGATGGCGAAGACAAATGTTGAGTATCGCCTATTCGATGACCAGGAGGAATCACTAAGTTTTGCAATCCAATTTCATTCGTGCTTTTCGAATCCTTGCGCATGCGTCGACTATAATAACTTTCAGTAGAACTAGCCCCGAGACTATATCTTCTATCCTCGCTACTATGATGATAATGCGAAAATATATAGGAAGGAGGATTGGAGGGTGTAGTAGGGAGATTTTGTGCAATTGAATCTCTATTATAATTAAAACTATTAACAAGAGGACTAGCGACACGAGGAGAAATAGTCGCGGAAAAATATGACGTTGATGGAGACGGAAAATCATAAGAAGGTTGACGTTTTAGACTACTGATACTGTCACGGACTTTAGCGATGTTTAATGAAGGACGACGTTTGTGAGCGTCTTTTGTGCTGCTGAACCGCGTTGGAACTAAATTTGTAGCACTTTCGACGTGTGAAGAACTTGAATTGTAACCGTAGTCATCGAGTATCGATGAGTAATACGAGTCGCGTGAGTTTCGGCTTTCGACAATCATTCACTTGTGTTATCGAATTTTATATATGAAAAAATGTATTGCTGTATCAAAGATCGCAGTCGTGCACTGTCTTCTAAGTGTAATCGATAAAAATTAAGGTACTCGAGATTGGATCTTCAGGGATCGATAAAAAATAATATTGACGAAGGTTCTTGCCCTTTGACTTTATTGTTTTTATTATTTATTATCTTCAAATGGTAAAGAGAGTTGTCGTCGTCGATTTGCGAGTGATTTGTCAGACGGTAGTTGGAGTAAAAGGATGTTGCATCCAGCAAAAAAGCCTTAGTGAATTAATGTAATAAGAGAGTAATTAATAATCTTTCTTGAGCACAAAAATTAATGACTGTTGTATTTAATATTATGCACTTATTATAAAATTCAAACACATGCGATGAAAACACACACATGCGCATAATAACTTACCGTAAGGATGCGAAGGGAGTGAAAGAAAATGAGAAAGAATAAAAAAATAAAAGGTTGAAATAAAAGAAAGAACACACAAAGGAGTGAAAAAAAAGGAAAACAAAATTTGGATTAGTGATTGATCGATGATGAACGTTTGGACGATGATGATACAAATAACGCTATAGTAGCGTGAATAGTGAATAGTTGAATATTAGCACTTAAGTGGAACGTATTCGTAGATTGGTCCGACCAAGAACAATTCTAATTTAATATACTGTATAATATTAAGAATTGAAGATTTTGCCAATTTAAGAATCCAATTACTGTATGTAGATTGTTGATTGGTTACACAATCCAGGTTAACGTTTGTTTTGCCGATCAGTTGCACAAGGGAGAGATTTCCCGTATTTGTTATGTATTTTAAATTTTAGATCGCTAAAGAGTTAACTATATTCATTTCACCGGACTATGGGTCATATAAATTTGAACCGTGCATTTATATAGCGATGTATAATAACTCTCGCGGATCACGTATTAAATGCTTATTTCGCAATCTTGCACAATAACATAACCTTGCTCAAGTATGTTTGGATTTTTCTCGAGGATTCATAGTGACAACAGGATTTTGTGATTCGTGATAAAGAAATCATAAATTATATAAATTAGTGATTCTGGCTGATAATCAAAAAATCGGCCAAAGTCGATTTTCGGCCTAGTCGGCTGATTTTGAAAAAATAGGCTCAGCTGATTTTTAGTACAACATACTAAAAAAGGAAGCTAATACATGTATATGTAGATAAATAATTACATGTAATAAAGGACGCGCGCGGTTATTAAATTTATAATTTTCGTTATTATTATGTACTCAAGACAAAAAATCGACTGGCTGATTGCGCTACAGTGAGCGTTATGTATTACTAAATATAGAATGTTACACCAGAAATCGACTAATCGACTTTGGCTGATAATTTTAGTTACAGTCGACCAGTTATCGACCAAGAACACTAATACCGTAGAGCACTGACTTTAATAGTATCCTCCCTAGTAAAGTATCCCTCCCCCTTCCTCCTCATTGAAACCGCGAATAGTAAGACCAGAGTTTTGTAACGTACCCAGGTACTGAATCCTTTCTATAATGGTCACCAAAAAAAGACACTGATTACTTAATTTAATCTGCCACGTTAATTAATCAATTAATTAGACTAAATTTGACATATTCCCGTGCATTAGTGAATTTGTGAAAAGTGAAATTTCGTGATTAGTAATTAATTTATAATGTTGATTTTTTATTCGTGTTCAAAAATGTGTCACTTTGACATTGAATATCTCGGCCAATTTTCATCCAATTTCAATGATCTTGGATTTATTAGAATTAAATGAATCTAATAGTGGTAAAAACATTTGATTTTGATCAATTTCCATCCAATCATCATAAAATTATAAAATTCTGATTCCTTAAGACGAGGGGAATCTAATGGTGTAAGAATTATTTAATTCAAACCAGTAGTTATTGAATATCATTGTTTAAAGATTGTTCATTGAAATTGAAGTTTTTTATGGAGTAACCTCATCTAAAATCTGAAAAATACCGGATTAACCAATCCTCTTTGGGATTAAAAACATAAAAAGTTTGAGAAACATGTAAATAAAATTTGAAACTGGGTTGTTTAGTATTAGATTGCATTTGTTTTATAACTTCTAAATACGTATAAAAAAATAAGTTTATTTAAAAATACTTTATCAAAATTATCTTTAATATCTTTTAATCTTATGAATTTTTTCATAAAATAGTTAGTTTCAAAGTCAATTGCAAGGAATTTTAATAGGTTACCTTGCAAATAATTATAAGTAAATTTTTATGTTATAGAGTATATGCAGTGAGCGCTCATTACAGTAACACTCTTTAAGATAACATCTCTTTATAATAACACAAAATCTTTTCCCCCGATCTCATTACTGTAATAAGCTTTCATAGCATTTATTTTTTTTTCGATAGAGTAACAACTCGATATAATAACACCAAATCTCTCCCCCGATCACGTTATTGTATCCAGCGCTCACTGTATTAATAGATTTTATGTAATTTCATTATATTTTAGTTGGATAATAAGCAAAATATTATTAATTTTTGTTATTATTATTGTATTTTATACAAAAATATAGTAAATTAATTAAGAACAAATTTACTATATTTTTGATGTTTTAGAACTTTCCTAAGATCAAGTACTTGTTTGAAAATAATAATATAAACAGTTTTCTATGAATAAAAATTTTAACTATATTTCTGGATTTCATATATATTGAGTTCGCATTAATAAATTAATATTTGAATTGAGAGAATTTAATTAATAATAAAAAGTTCACATATTAAAATTTGTAATAAACCTAGAGTTCTAGATGAATTAATAATTTAACTCCTATATTTTAGTTTATTTTTAAAAAATTGAATTGTTTTCTTTTTTTAGAACTTTGATTTGGACCAATTTTCTTTTTCATCTATAGCTTCAGATACCAGTTAAAATTGTAATGAATGTGACTGCAAATATTCTAACTGCAAATGTTCAAGAAATTTATTTACATATCCTTTCAATTAGATATATTATGCATCATATAGTATCTGTGATAGATTTCATTTTAAGAAATTGTTTTATATACAAAATTGGTTTAAATATGATAAAACTGGTTGTGATGCGAAGAGAACTGCATACCTACTTCAATCTCAAATGGAGTGTTCATTAAAGATAAGTCGTTAATATAGTTTTTAAATTCGGAACCCAATATACTTCCAACAAAAGGTATACTATTCTTATTAACTAACTTTGTTACTACTAGAAGGTTCACAGTAGAAATTTTAATAAGAGTTTTAATCTAAAGCCGGGTTTAGATATTAAAAATAAAACCCGGTTCCAAACTCTAGAGTCACGGAAAGGCTATTTGACAACGATGACTAATCCATGGCTCAGTTTAAACTAAAAATTTGCATGTTACCGTTACGTGAAATCTTAATAACTTTTAGTCTATAGATACAGAAGATAAGAAACAATTTTGCCATTGAATTATCTAAAATTCTATTTCACGTAATTCATCTCTCATAACAAAACTAACACGCATAATACATCAATAAAATACTTATGTATGTAGTACAAATGTCAACAAAACCATTTTTTGAGGAGTTTAGAATCGGTAGACAGGTAGGAGGAAGGAAGGTACATGTATTGAGACAATGATGGTTTCATTATGGATAGATCATATCGATATAATTTAATGCAAAAACCAAATAAACGCGCTGCTATTATTGTTGTATCACCATATCACCAACCTTTATTTTTTTTTTGATGAGATTAGAACGCGATTTCGGACCTAAGATGCAAAAAACAAAATTTTCGTCATTGTTCACGATATTTTTATTTAAAATAACTAAACTATTTAATTATATGTGTAGATAATCGAAAAATTCTTCTATTCCTATTCTGAAGTTTTTTTTTTTATAAAAAGGCTTCATCCTTGCTTCTTAGTTTCATTCCATCTAACTTGAGGAAATCGAATAATCAAACAACCATTCAACCAATTAGATATCAAACAAACATGTCATCTCTTTCTTATCACGCCTCTCCTTTATCAAGCACTTCATTCTTCGCATTTACTTCAAAATCTAAAGAAATTTTTGAATTCGTGACCCCCGACAGCAATAGTAATAGCGACATTAACAGTAGTCGAGCTGATTTTGGAGCAATTGATGTTATCGCCGATCCCTTTACTCAAATTCGTGACGAAGAAATTTTCGTCGCCGAAGAGAAACGAAAAAGTCAATTTGTGACTTTTTTTAGTAACGTGATTCAAAAAGTCGCACCAAAAAATTTGTTAAAACGTCGTCGTAACACTTGCGATTCCTCGGAAAGTGACGAATGTTATCATAATATTAAACAAAAGAACAAGAATAAGAACAATAACAATGGAAACAATCGAAGCAAGAAAAGAATCAAATTCTCGTTCACTACTGAATCTATACCAGAGCCAAGTATCGATCAGCAACAAATTTACATGACTTCACCGCATCAATCAATTCTTCGTTCACAACAATCATTAATGACATCCTCTTCTCTTTCCTCCAATTACCTGTCACCCATAATTAATCTCCATATTAATATTTACTGGTCTCCAAAACTAAAAATAAAACTTTCGATATTTCGCCATGCTTCATTCCACGAATTTAGAAATACCATCTCGTCGGTTCTCGGCTATCAGATACCAAACGATAGTATCATTCTCTACCATAGTACACGTATTCTAGAGCTAGAGAAAAAGCTGATGTTTGCCGAATCAAATCCCGCGTTTGTTGATTATCTGGTGGCAGAGGGTAAATTACAGCGTGTCGCGATTGAAGATTCATGGAGATGTGTAATGGGTTGGTGGAGGAATCAGGTGGAAATTACTTGTTTTGCAAGATCGAGATTGTATTAGATAAAAAGAGTAAAAAAAGATTCAAAGGTAAATATCGTGAATTAGAATGTACATATTGTACATAATGTTATATTTTACTTCTCTATATTATATTGGTATTTTTATATTGGTATTATATTATATTTAAAATATATTACACATAAACCTATACTTAAACGCATTAAGATAATATATTATGATCATTATCATTATCACATATAAATAATGACTAGCACTAGCTAGCATTACAATCTAGTGTAACCATGCTATAGAATTACGTACATGTATAACTATCATAATGCATTGTATATAACGATAATGCATTAAAGTACGTATTTAAAATATTTGAGGGATTTCGTAGCTTAAAGTCCCAATTTTTTCTTTCTTGCCTCGTGTGAGTTCAAGAAGGTGAATATACACACCTCTACAATATATTCAAAAATGAATTTGTTACTTGGAACCTAATATCGTGATCCCATCCGAACAAAAATATTACCATCATATTCGTCTCGACCATACGAATCTAATGGTGATATTTTCGTTCGAATGTTTGAAATTTCCGGTAATATATTGTAGGAGTGTGTAGTATTTTTTTTTACGCTGCATGTCTTTATTGAAAGTGAATGCGTTGTTATCTCTTTGTGTCTATATATATAATGATTAGAAATCTGATTGAAAGCGGTTATTTGTTGGGGGGGGGATTATGTATTTTATTAACAACCGCAAATATCAATATAGTAAATAAAGCGTGGTCTAGTAGAAAGCTCTCGCGAAAAAAAGATCTCTGGAATGTCAAAATTTAATGATTCAGTTGTAAGGTAAATTGAATTTTTAAAGCTTAAATAGAAAATGCTCGTGTTCTTTAAACAAAAAAAGTGTTTGTAAATAAAAGTTTTGACAGTATATATCGATACTATAGAATGGAGCTAACACCAAAACGGCGATCTCAACTTGCCGGATTCCTCGTCAACGTAGTTGAGCTAGTGTGGGGAGAACTCGTTACAAACGAGAAAAATAAACTTTTAAAACATCTCGAAACGGTAAATGAATTAATTAAATAACAATTGCTCGATGCATATACATATCGATATATTTAATTAATTACAAATCTTTATTACGTAGTTCTTTTCCAAAGTTAACTTTGAGGAAACCATTGTGTTGCTAGCAATCTGTTATATCCATAAACTTAAGCTAAAATATAACGATTTGCGATCTGTCTTCCAGAACTGTGAATTATTATTATTCATCATCGTGGCACTACTTGTCTCGTATAAATACCTAGAAGATGAACAACCTAACTGGAAAAGTTTGTTAAGTTTGTTAGGTATCTCGTTTGAAATGATCATGAAATTCGAGTGGCTTTTTATGGAAATGTTGGATTATAAACTCCATGTGACGAAAGAGGAATTTAATAAGTATGTGATGTATTTTAAAAATAAGTTTAATTTTCTGGCGCAAGTGGTAAGTTTATATTTGCATTGATTGATTGATTGATTTTCAAACGTTTTGAATTTATAACATTTCATTGTTGTTGTTTTATAATTTAAATATAATAATAGAAGGAGAATCCTGTTGCTGTTTGTCGACCTAAAAACTGTCGGAATCAACAACCAAAGGGATCCAACAACTCTCTTTTTGTCAATGATCCGAGCGTAAACCTCGTGCGTGCTGTCCAGATTATAAATAATACTAGGGCGACTTTGGTAAATATGTTTTTTGATCACTATAATGAGAATATCTAAGTTCATTTTTTTGGGGATAGAATGGCTCACTTCCGATTTCAAATAACATCAGTTCTCGATCCAACCCATGTTTTTTTTGTTACAGGAAAGTAAAGTTTTTGGTTTGCAGGGATCCACGTGATTTTCAGTAACGAGGATTAGCATTAATTTATTTGTTATATAGGATTATTATTACGGTAGTATCGCATTGATAGGTTTTAGGTAGAGAATGTGAAAAAATTGCTCAAATCTGCAAAAAATAAAATATCAAAAATTAGATAGATTGGCATAATTTTCAAACATCAGATTTTATTTGGCAGCTTTTTAAAGAGTTTATAACAATCGATAGCTAGAATATTAAATACGTATACATATAATTCCAGAGTCTGTAGAATGCTTCATCTATAATTCCAACTATAACGGAACCCTGAACTCCTAGGTTGGATTCAAATATTTGTCAATAATAAGATTTATTGTTATATTAAAAAGATAACAAGATAAATATACACAGTCAATTCCATTAAACTAAGCACTAATTAAATTTGCATGAACCGAATTTGGTTCCAGGAACTGTTATAGTAAGCCCTCCTTGATAAACCGAAGTTGGTTTAGGAAAATTATAGTAAATCTGCCTCGATAAACCAAATTTACTAAATAACCCGGGATTTTTAAATTTTCTGACCACTTCGGTTTAATGTGTTCTATAACGATAACCTTTTCGAATAAACGGAACTTGTATTCAAATCCAAACACTAAATTCAACATGTAAATGCATACAAATGGTCTTTAAAAGGACATTCTTATTGGTTTATGATGCTGGGGTAGTTAATAAAAAGCATGTTTCACCTGACATGATCAGTAAAAACGGGTTTCACCAAGTGATTGCGGATTTTACCAATTATCACGGATTTTACTTTTTCTTATAGCGGATTTCACCCTGTCATATTATATTCATTGTGTTTATTATATTTATTACATTCTAAATCATATAATTATTATTAGAAAATAATTAAATATAAATATAGTTAGTCTTGTAGATGAAAAAAAGCAAGTTGTAGCAATTAGTCCAACTAATGACTTAAATAAAAATACTTTAATATTCTACATTTTAAATTATACTCATTGAAAATATATTGAAAAGCATTATAAAAATAATAATACATTGTTGAAATCTAATTTAAGTAATATTGTGTAAAAGTTGACTTAAGAGACAGTTGTGTGTTGGCAATTATCTTGTATCAGAAATATCATATAATCTTGTAATTGTCTCTGATTAGATTTTAAAGAATAATGAACTTTACTATAATAATATTATAATATATTTGTTAGCTAACAAATTCATGTTATAATTGAGTTTAGCTATCTTGGTATTAATGATTTGGACTAAAATACTTTTCAAAATCCTAAATATTTTAGATTTTAAATTATTATCTAAGTTTTAAATGTTCTAAATTCTAATTTAGAAATTTTTTTGCAAATTATTTGATGCTAAATACTTTAGCCTGAATTACTATTTGATATAATATTTATTTACATTAATTTAATGAATTGGAGTTACTTATACTGTTGTGATATGAATTTTGACATGTTACATGACTTTTTATAGTTTATTTTGATTGAATAACTGATTTATATGTAATTTATAAATTATATTCATATTTATTCTATATTATCTATATTTTACTTATATTATTTTTTATTATATTTTATTCTAATTTTATTATATTTCATACCAGTTCATTTTTATTTTATACTATTTCATTCTATTTTTATATTATTTTATTTTATTTTATTCTATTTTTATATTATCTCATTCTATATTAATTATAATTTATACTAATTATATTTAATTCATATTATTATTTTTAGTATAAAAAACACATGTTAATTAATCTATATATCAAATTTGATTAATATTAATGGTGAAATTTATATAATATTAGAGTGAATGATATATAATCATCAAGCGAGCAAGCAATGTATAATCATCAAGCAAGCACTTTTTGTAACTATAATATCAATTAAAAATAGCTTTAATATTTAAAAGTTGAGTAATAATAACTTGTATAAATATAACTTGTATCTTAGCTTAGAAAAATAATCTTTTTAGATTTTAATCTTCTTACACTTTTGAATTTTCTTATCTTTTAAATTCTTAATCTTTTTGAATATTAATCTTTTTAAATTATAATCTTCTTATTTACTTTAATTTTCTTTGACAAAATCTTCTTAGAAGTGAATTATATTATAAGTCTTGAGTTAAAGATTTTCAGTCAAGCATTAATTATCTCTTTTATTTCTTATTTGTATCCTTTATTATTTAAAAGATTTCTTATTTGTAACAAGTAATATTATCTATAATAATATAATTAATTTCTTATTATTACTTTGTGAAGTTAATTAATATTATTTAGATTTATAATAAAAGAAGAAAATAATTTTATTAAAAAATTAATTAATAAAAGAAGATTACTTAATAATTAAATTATTTGAATTAAAAGAAGATTTCTGAACTTATTCTAGCAATTTAACAAAATGAACTTTAAAAACTTTTTTTATAATACTAAAAATATTATTATAAATTATAATTTAATAATATTATTTTATTTATAACATGCAAGAAATAATTATTCTGAATTGAGATTAGAAAAATTTTTAATACTTTATTCATATTAAATAAATTATTTGAAATATTTAAAATATTTAAAATATACTATTAATTAAGATTTGTATTTTTATAATTTTAATTTGAATTAGAGTGATTTTTGTTTGTATTAATTTAACTATTTTAATTAAGATACTTAATATTATGTAAAAAATTTACTAAACAAATTATAAATATTATTATTTTAGTTCTTTGAATAATATTTGTATAATAAAAGATCTATATAAATTTTTTTTAGTTATAAAAAGAATATTAAATAAATTAAGTTTATTATTAAAAGAATTATATAATATATAATTAATAAAGCTTTTTTATTATTATATTTTTTATTATTACTATTTTAGTTAATGCTTTGCATATAAATTATACAAGAAAAATAGTATAATTAGACTATTCAAATCTATAATTAAAATTATATTAAATATTAAAAAGAAATTATAAGACAATTATTAAAGTAATAAGTTATTGATTATTTATTTAAGTATTAATTCTTATTTTTATTAATAGCTTTTAAGTAAAGTACTATTTATACAGTAACTAACAAAATTATATAATTATGTGTACAATTTTATCAATAAAATATAGTAAAAATTGAAGTTTTTGTCTTATTTAAAAGTTTTTAATTTTATTAATAAATATTTTTTATTTTTATATCAAAATAAAGATTATCAATTATAGTTTAACATATATTTTTCTGGATATTTCTGATAAAGTTGTTCTAATTGCAAAATTATTGCAAAATTTTTTATATTTAAAATATAAAATTAATTATTATAAAAATTTTTGCAATAACTTTACAATTAGAACAACTTTATCAAAAAAAATCTAAAAAATCCAGAAAATATATATATATTAAACTATATTTTATAATTTTTATATTGATATAAAAATAAAAAATAGGTATTAATAAAATTAAAAATTTTTATATAAGACAAAAATTTTAATTTTTACTATATTTTATTAATAAAATTATATATATAATTTCATAATTCTATTAGTCATTATATATTAAAATAAATATTATTAAAATATTTTTTATTTAATATAAAATAAATTAAATATCTTTTATTTCTAATTTATTATTTTATACTATTTTATTTTTTATAATTTTTAATATTTTATGCTTTTTTATTTATTATATAATTAATAATATAAACTAAATTTAAAAATAAATATAATATTTAATAAAATATAAATTAATAAAATACAAAATATAAAATAATTAAATAAATTAAGTATTTAATATAATATAAAAAACAAAATATATTATAATATATTTCTTTATATTATTTCTGAATTTTGTTGAAAAATATTAAAATTAAATAAGAAAATAAAAATTATAATCTTTTATACTTATTATAAAATACTAGAAAATCTAGCTAACTTAATTATATAATCGTAATTAATTATAACAAGTATCATTAAGTTTAAAAATAATAAATTAAAAAATAATATATAAGTAAATAAAATTTTATCTTATATATAAATATTTTAGTAAAGAATCTTTAATAAAATTATAATAATATATGAAATATTTCATAAATTATCAACACATATAGCAATTCATTTTTTTATATAAGATGAAATTAAGAATAAAAAAGTTTAAACTATATATATAATAAAGAATATTTATTAAATAACTCAAACAATATCTAAATATAATATCTCAACAAATTAAATCAAAAAATTAATTAAAATAATAATTTTTATTTACTCAAAAATTTTTTGTATATTCAAAAAATATCAGGATATTTTTTAAAATTTTTAATAGTATTAATCTATACTATATGTTATTCAACACTAAAATACATTAAGCAACAAATATTTTGTTAACAAATAGTATTAAAAATAGCATAAACTTATTATAATATATATTTTTAAATTATAATTAGGATTAAAAAACATGTAATATAATGAATTTATATCATATTTTGACAAATAACTATAATTAATATTATTATAATTTTATAATTTCACCAAAAATATTAAAAATATCAAAAATATTAAATATATTAAAAATATTAAATATATCCAAAATATTTAATATATTTAATATATTCATTAAGTTAGTTATATTAAAAATATTTATTATATTAAATATATTTATTATATTAATATACTTTTAAATTATATAAATATAATTAATCTTGTAACTATAAAAAAGCAAGTTGTAGTTAATTAAATTTAATATAACAAGTTATAGTTAATTAAATTCAATACAACAAGTTATAATTAATTAAATTCAATATAATAAGTTATAATTAATTAGATTTAATACAGAAAGCTGTTATATTATTAGATTATTAATCAGATTATTAAAGAATATAGTACTATATTGCTTTAAAATTATTTATTAATAATAATAATAATAGAAGAAAATACATTATATAGTAATTTTAAAGTGATTAAATTCATCAAAGTTAAATATACAAAGTATAAATTAATTAAATATTGGTTAAATATTTATATTATTTACT